TTTTCCTCGATTCTCGGGTAGGGCACCGACACGATCCTTCAATGGGATTCTAGATTTGGAGAGACTCACGCTGTCATAGGGCTTCACCAGAAGTGCGAGAGCAATAGGAGCGGGATCTGGAGTTGACAAAGGCCGGAAGGCAGCTTCAGATGTTTTTGCCTTAGGCGCTGATTTGGCTTTTGGCGCCCAAACTTGTTTGGATCTTGGCGATCTTTTAACTGCCTCTTCCTTTTGCATTTCCTGTGCTTTTCGTACAAGAGTCCGTGCATGCGCAAGCAAGGCGCGGCGCTTCTGGATTCGCTCCTCGAGAGTAGAGCGGGTTCTTTGGACACGAACCCATTCGTTAATTGGAGATCGAGAGGAGGATTCCGATGCTGGTCGTGGCAACAGATTAGCCACTTGGCGCTTTCTGAGCTCCAGATCTGCTTGGTAATGGAGTCCATCCATCTGATCCAAAGCCTTGGCGAATTGACGCGCGAGGTGTTGTCGTTTCCTTTGACGTGCTCTCTTTGATAGAGTTGGCGCGCCTTCAGCAGTCGACTCCTTAATCGTGAAGGAGTTCAGATCTGCAGATCTGGTCTCATTGGATGCCGGCGGACCGTTGCAAGGTACGACTGTAGCATCGGTTATGGGGAGATCGATTTCTTGGTTCTTCAGATCTGGAGACCGACGGATCTTCTGGGAGGATGAGGCCTTCCTGCACCTGCAAGGAGAGGCAGATCTGGAGGAGGAGGAGGAGGAGGAGACGTACTCCTCGAACTTTTGCTGGTCAAACTCGTATTCGACCTCTTCAGCCACGGGGATCTTGATCGTTGGCTGCGGCACGATAACCTCGGCAGCGAGGCTGTTGGCTCTCACTGTGGTCGCCAGTTTGTTTGCTGTGAAAGTTGTTGTTTTCATTGTTATCGAATCTATTACAACTTTAGTCGTTACAATAAATTCGAATGAAATAAAAAGTTGATCTTTTTATAAGATCTCTTTACACAATGAAAATAAAAAAAATTTACAACTTTATCAAACAAACGCAGAGATCGTTTATCGACCTTCTGCTTGCGTGGGATCTTTGCCTGTGCCGGGGTTTATCCGTGGACCACCGTCGATCAAATCTGATTGCTGAAAAATTGAGCAGAACTTCGTCTATCCACGAGGGATCGAGAAAACCGTAGCTCTTATCTCGGCGAAGCGAGATAATCACTCTTCTTAAGATTACCGTAACGGGATAATCCTAAGTAACGGATCCGGGAAACTGTAGATCTGACGAATCTCTCTCTTACGTTGAAGAACTCGATTCGATCTCTCCTCCTCCTCTCTGAAATCCGTGCACTTTAAGTCTTCAATCCGGCAGGGCTTCGCCGAGGCACGAGAATTCCAGATCTTGAAAAATGAGGGCCTGAGGCTTGTATTTATAGGCCCGGGGGAGTTTGGAGCGGTTAAAACCACCTAAAGGCCCAAATCTACGTTGGAGACACCCCCCAGGATGTCTCCACTTGATCCAAGACACCCTAGGGTGTCTCCCCTTGATCCGAGACACCCTAAGGTGTCTCGATTTGGGCCGAGACACTCTGTTATGGTGTATATGTCCGCTTCCGCTGTAAATTTTTCGTCCGAACTCGGATTTAAGTGATTCGAAGTGCGTTGGAAAGCCGACAAGGAGTTCTATCAGCTCCGATGGTTGGATCATCTGTAGAGTGAATGAGACACGAAGGGCATTGTTCCTTTTGTAAACATCACGAGGCTCCCGATTAGTCCGTATCTTCGTTAGTTCACGTAGTTCGTCGATTTACTTCAAGCGTTCATCGACATCAATCGAACTCCTGTGAACCGGATAGTGACGTTCATCGTCGTTCCTTAACACTGAGCTGTTCGTGGAGACCTATAGGTAATTTTCGATGCCTACACATGTATACAACAATATTTATAGAATCGGCCTAAAAACTCTTGGGCAATCAGGAGTGGATCCTCATACTTTTGGCGCGCTCCAAGATAGTGTGATTCATACGCTCCACCACTCCGTTGTGCAGAGATGTATCTGGAACGGTCTTCAGTCTCCTAATCTCATAGGATGAGCAAAAATTCTTGAACTCCCGACTGTAATACTCGTCTCCATTATCAGATTTTAGACACTTCAGCTTATTGCTTGTTTCGTTCTCCACACAGGCAAGTCACTTCTTAAAGATGATGAAACATCGGACTTGTGCTTCAAGAAGAACACCCATAGTTTTCTAGTAGCATCATCAATAAAAGAGACAAAATAAAGAGAGTTGCCAACAGATGGGACTTGTGCAAGTTCCCACACGTCAGTGTGCACCAACTCTAATTTTTATAATTTTGGAGTCGGTACGGTCTTGTTGAAGCTCACCTTCTTCCGTTTACCTAGGATGCAGTCCTCACAGAAAGTGAGATCGATCTTGCTCAGACCTGAAAGCCTCTCTATCATGGCCATAATCTGCATGCCCTTCTCGCTCACGTGACTAAGTCGCCGATGCCAAGTCATGCAGTCGAAGGATGATGATAATGCTTGTCCTGCGACAAGCAGTCGATCTTCCCATTGGCGATGTAGAGAGACCCCTCGCGTTTGTCGTGTGCTACTACCAAGGTACCCTTGGACACCTTCCAGTTTTCCTGCTCGAATGATACTCTATAATCGGAGTCAGCCAGTTGTCTGACTGATATAAGATTCCGCCTAAGATCCGGTACATGCCGAACGTCGTTCAGCGTCAAGGTGGTCCTACCCTCCATCTTGATGGTACAATTTTCCTTCTCGGAGATCTTGCAAGGTTGATCGTCGCCAAGATAGACTGTCCTCAAGTCCTTCTTTACGAAGGATGAAAGCAGCTTTTGTTGTGAGGTTGAATGGAAAGATGCGCCAGAGTCGATGACCCACACATCGCTCGTCTTCAAGAGATAGGAGAAGCGCATCCGAATCCGTCTCGTACATAAAATTGGTTGTACCGTCAGCCTTATTATCCCTTGCTAATGTTGGAACAGAAGATCTGCAGTCTCGTGCAAAGTGACCATTCTTTTCACATCTGAAGCATTTTCTTTCACCGTAATCATTCGGGTCCGGTCCTTTAGATTTCCCTCTGGACTTTGATTGGTCTCATCGTCCCCTACCCTTTTTCTGCGCACGCCCCCGTGCCTTAACATGCAGAGCACTCCCACTGCTAGAGGCCTCATCTCCTGAGACTTTGCGGCGAGATTCTTCATCCAGAATTGCTTCAATCACTGTGTCGAGCTTCATCTTGTCATTGCCATTGGCGTTGCTCACCACCATCATCATATTCTCCCATGAATCTGGTAGACAAAAAAGTAGCAGAAGAGCTTAGATCTCATTGTCGAATTTGAGATCCACTGCAGCAAGCTGTTACACCAGTCTGAAATTCGTTCAAAAAGTCCGTTACGCGAGCTTCTTACTATATCTTTAGATTGAATAGCTTCTTCATCAGGTACATCTTATTTGAGGCAGACGACTTCTCATACAGCGCCTTCAAGGCCTCCATCAACTCCTTAGTGGTGATCGCCTGCGAGATGTTGTAAGTCACATGCTGGTGAATGTTGAGCTTGATGGTGACAAGTGCTTTACGATCAAGCACCTTCCACTTATCGTTATCCATCTTCTCAGGTTTTCCTGCCTCTTCTTGGAGGGGTAGGAAAAGATCCTTCTTGTACAAATAGTCTTTTATCTGCATCCTCCAATATATGAAATTTTGGCCGCCGAACTTCTCTATTCGAAGCCTGTTGTCTTCAACTGTAGATCCTATGGCAAAAAATTCCATCTTTCCTAAACTGTATGCTTTGATACCACTTGTTAGGGTACACGCCAACAAGAACGCCTCAAACGGAGACGCAAAACACACCCAAATGATCTTGGAATCACAGAATAAAATCAGCAAACACGAATTCAATCACAGTACTCACAGATATAACGTGATTTACTCTTACGGAGCTACTCCACGGTGCAACGACAACGCCTAATTCTTTTATATTCCTTTCGAGGTTACAAAGAAAAAAGATAAAAAGAGAACACCCTCTCTTGATCAAGATACTCTCTAAGAATTCTCACAAACTCTCTCTCAAGATCTCTCAAAAGAGAACACCCTCTCTTGATCAAGATACTCTCTAAGAATTCTCACAAACTCTCTCTCAAGATCTCTCAATGATATTACTTCTCTTGATCAAGATACTCTCTAAGAATTCTCACAAACTCTCTCTCAAGATCTCTCAATGATATTACTTACATATGTATCTTTCTTTTTCTCTCTCTGCTACTGAGATACCTTACAAATCAAACTTAGGGGGTATTTATAAGTTTTCTCTTGGGGTAGGTGAACACTATTTGGGGTGGGTGAATACTGTAGCACAGGGGTAGGTGAACACTGCTGATTTTTTTATGACAAGGCTATCCACTCTCTCAACAAATCCAACATCAGTAAGTATCTAATTGATTGATCTGAAATTCAGTCAATGCGAAAACTTATAAGTAGCACGGGGGTAGGTGAACCCTGCTGATTTTTTGATGACAAGGCTATCCACTCTCTCAACAAATCCAACATCAATAAGTATCTAATTGATTGATCTGAAGTTCAGTCAATGCGGAGGGCTACATCAAGCTAACATCAAACTGTGAACATTCGCATTTCTTCGATCCTTTCCACAATAACAACCCCCTTTCCTTGCGGGTTGATCAAAATCATGTCCAAATAGATCCCATAAACCCCAAGAATCACATTTCAGTAATCATTTAACTTGACCATATCTACAAGGTAGAAATGCCCCTCTCTGACCTTAGTTATGCCTCAATATTCTTGTAGCTCCCTTAACAAGGTTTGAACTTTGATTTCACAAATCGAAGAATACAAATTGCGGGTATTTTGGAAATTCTACAACACAGCACATAAGATTTCCAAATACCCAACTAGAATACAACCATAAAATTCAGGAAAAAAAGGAACACATGACAAATATAGTATAAGAAAATTCAAGTGAAACCCATATGCTACCTCTCACGGAAGAAGGCAAGGGGAGCAAGGATAGAGATAGCAATGAGGTCTCTGAAGACGCAGAAGACAACTTGGTTCATGCCCCCAATGAGCGCCACCTTGGTGATGACGTGGTACCCGCCGTTGATGACCTGGACCAACGCCATGGCTGCGTGAGCCCTTCGAGCTTCTCCTCCAATTCCTCCACCCAATGAACCCATCATTGAATTCAAGCTACCCATTTGATTTTATTTATTTATTTATTTATTTATCCCTTCTTCTTTCTCTCGGGGAGAAGAGTAGAGGATAGGGATAGCGAATACTTGTGGGAGAAAAAGGACAACGAAATATTCATATTTGTAATCATGACGCTCAAATACCTTATGATGTATTATTTTAGCACTAATATATCCTCAATTAAATTTCGTAGGATTTATATATCGGAAATGAGAGATGGGTGCGTGATCCCATCTCGCGTGACAAATAGAAGGATTTTGAGTTACTCAAAATTAGCACGTTAATATCTTATATTTTGTAAACGTGAATGTTTTTTGAAAATTCTCATATAATATTTATTATATGATCTAATAACTTTATGTCTATGAATTTGGGTAGGTTTAATAGTAATTTAACAAATACTACTTGTTAAAAAAACTCTAAAATTAACATATGAATATAAATTTGGGAACTTTTAAATGAAAAATTTCATGTTTGCAAAACGTAAGGTATTAACGTGCTGATTTTGACCAACTAAAGTATATGAATGCTACAAATTAAATACAATTATTAAGGATATATAAATTCTAAAGGAGGTGGAAAAAGGTCTTTAAGTGCTATTTAGCCTACTTCTGGGATTTTGAAGTATAAACACAAAGTTTTATCCTCATTTATTCCGAGACCCATACACCTCAACGGTTAACTCTAAACCCAAAACACTTCCACTAAATTAGTTTTAAACTCACTTTGCATTTTAGCAGTTTGACATATGGTATTATTAGGTTATTATAAATTTCTATATATTGCTAACTTGTTATATTCTCTATAAATCCTCATAGTTTTCTGTATACTTAACTACGGGAGTATACGCCTATAGATAATTTAATGCTTCACTTTGAGGTTAAGATTGATTTCAGATAGGATTCAGTTTAAAATTAAATAGGGGATAAAATTCTGGGTTTATACATGGAAAACCCCATAATTTTTACTTGGCAAAAAATAATAATATTAGTTGTTAAGGAGGTGTTTGTTTGCATGCAAGTGAAAGATGAAAGTGAGAAAGTTACTTTCATTTAACAATTAAGGTGTTTGTTTTCATATAAGTGGTATTGCTACAAGGACCAAAATAAGGGACCCGAGGCATAGGACAGGTGAGGTGTCACCATCTGGTTGCATGATGCACTGTTCATGAACAGAGTGCATCATGCAACCGGATGGTGACACCTCACCTGTCTCATGCCTTGGGTCCCTTATTTGGGTCCTTGTAGCAACACCCTTCATGTAAGTGGTTATGAAAGTGAGATGCAAGAAAGTTATCACATATGATTTAATACAATTTTGACTTCCCCTAAAAAAGTGGTGAAGTCACATGAAAGTGACAAAAATGGTAACTAATTTAATTAAATAATTTTAATTATACTTTCTAATTAATCTTATTTTGCCACGTCATCTTCACATTGCACTTTCGATAATAATTTAATTTTTCAAACAAACACTGTATTTCACTTGCGTGCCGACATGGATGTAAAAGTCATTTGCAAAAAAAAGTAACTTACATATTTTAAATTTACTTTCAGATTGCCAAACATCCCCTAACTCGTAGATATTTTGCGGGTCACTACCGTGATTCCCTATTCATATCTTCATTTTTAAGAAGTCCACTTTCCTTTTGGATGTAAGCAAGAAATTTCTTCACATGATTCCATTCTATAGTATTGCAAACAACCAATTAAATTATTAAGAAGTGAATTTGCATCTGGTTGGAAGCTTATCTTCATTTATTATTCAATTAGAACCGACACGTGAAAAACGGTTTAAATTTAAGTAGAGCTAAAGTATTTTCTACATATTATTTTAAGCTTCAATCGAAGAAACCTAGTTGAAATGACACCTTATCTATCTCGTAGTTGACCTCAGAAAATTGGGTTTGGAAATAATTTCTCAACAAACTATGCAGGATACTCACCATTTAACAATTTATTCTTAAGATTGCATATTTACAAAATCTATAGAATGACATCCATGACATGTTTGGTAGAGTGGTGATTCGATGGCCTATAAATCAATATAAATAAATATCCATACAAATATTTTTCTTCTTCTTCTTTGGTTTGGGTGGAGTTAGGGGTTCTCAAAACATTAAAAAAAAAAGAATTATCTATAACATACCTTCTGTAGAGAATCGCATGAAGGAAAATCGCGAACATGCTATATTTTATAATAATAGTATATTAATAAAACATTCTGACTATAGGAACACAACATTTAGGTTAGTATTAACATACTAAACATAGTATTTTAATTGTGTTGATATCGGTAGCAATGATATTTCGCACGTCTCATAGGAGCTTGGGGTGACTTCGCCTAACAAAGCTTCAAGATGGGCTTCTCTCAGAGTTATTTTGAATTAAGGTCCAAGACATAAAAGCCCACCATGCATTATTACTTAATTAAGGTGGCCGATTAATCCCCCATCCATCTGTATGTAAAGGCAAGATAGTTTCTCTGACCATTAAAAAAGAAAAAAGAAAAAAGAAAAAAGAAAAAGAAAGAAAGAAAGATAGTTTCTTCTAATTTTAATACTCAACCTCAAATAATTATTGGGTAATTTGGAGATCGGGTCGAATAAACTATATGATTTTACAATCTGGGTCTAATCTAGAATTAGTTTTGTTAATTTACTTATTCAACCCTGCTTCAAATATCATCTAAGGGGCTGTTTGGTTGCACACTTTTTGAGAAAATTTTTCTCAAAACATCTGATAATGATAAATTTGTAATTAAAAGTTTTCCAGAGATTTCTGTAAATTGTGTTTGGTTCAACAAAAAATTTACAGAAATATTTTCTATGAAATATCAAAACCTACCAAATTTTACAAAAAGCAATTTCCTCTCAAAATGAGAGGAAATCACCAGAAATCTGACACATACCATATTTAATTAAAAACCTACCAAATCTTGTTATTTTCTATAAAGTTATGAGCTATTTTCTTGTTTTGAATCGAACAAGCAAAGTACAAAAAATAAGAAAATTGGTACTTTTTGATTTCTCAAAACTTTTCCTATAATTTTTTTAAGAAATACAAAGAAATCAAAAAAAAAAAAAAAAAAAAAAAAAAAACCGTTCACGCATCTCGGATTTTTGACCGTCCAAGATAAATTTTCAGCTCTGACCCTAAGATCAATTAAATTTAAAACTGATAGTGAAACAAGTGCATTATGGATACTTTAGATTTTCTGTAGAGCACCTTACAGAGTAATTTTTCTAATCTTTCAATCTACATATTCATCTTAAAGAAAAACTTCATATCTACGCATGCTTTCATCTCTGCAATGTTTGTTATTTTTCACTATCAGCAATTCCCACTTCAAAAAAAAAAAAAAAAAATTCATATATTTCAGAAAAAGCTCACTTTTCTCAAAAAAGTACCCGTAGGTTTGTTTTTTTTTTTTGGCGCCATCGCTTTCAGTACCTAGTCAGCGCTTGGGGTATTCGATTTGAACCCATTCGCTAGTATCCGTACCCCAGCGATAGAATCAAAAATTCACGAATCGCTTGATTTAATTTCCCATCGCGTTACTTATTTTGCCCTAGATATGGCTTTGTTTAGTTCAATTTTGGCAATTTCGAGGGGATTTTACGTCTCTCAGTTTTTTTTCCCTAAAAAAAAAACTCTCTTTTTGACAAGATCTCTCGTGATTTCCCCCGTTGCGAACCACCCTGATGCCAAAAATGTCATTTTTCTACGCCGTTTGTAAGAATATTCAATTGCTTTTGCTGCATATTTGTCGATTTGGGAATAGCCACAGGCATCAATGCGGGCGACTGGTTCAAAAACCGTTGATACCGTGTAAATTTTATTTTATTTTATTTATTTTTGATCCAGTCTTGTCAGAATTGGATCCTCTCTGCACGCGGGGGAGGATCCTTCGAATCTCCCCTCACCTTACGATCTCGGCAACTAAGCATGGTCTACAATCAGCATATCCTTACTCATCTTTATCTTCTAATTCGACAATGACATTGCATTAATCTAATCTCTTTTGTGATTTGATGGGCGGTTCAATCCCGTTTCCAGAGAATCGATTCCGGGGTTTTGATGCTTACTTGTGCCTCTGTTAATCTCATAGTGAATAGGATAGCTCAGGTTGCCTTTTTTTTTTTTTTTTTTTTTTTTCCGAGAAGGCGGCATATGTTTTTTTCTCCCCTAGGAATCGATCACATCCAATTATAGTCCAATCCAGTTGCAACCCTGTTGTTGACTGGTGTTTTCTTGATGTTATTGTTCCTGTAAAAGTTATCCTCGCACTAAATATTTGTGCCTTCTATATCTGCAACCTCCATGGGTGTGCATGTGTAATTGCATATGGGCACACTTTTTCCTCCTTGTAGTGGTGTTTTATGTCTGTGCATAAGTAATTTTTTTAATTGTTGTTTTCATGATATAATTCCTGTTTGTACTGTGACCATAGCTTTGTGAACTACAACTACCACAACTGTTACACTCCACGTATCATAATTGCCAGTGCCCTGAAGAAATTCCTAGTTCTCATATCCCATGTTTAGTTCTTAGCTACTCGAGTGTTTCAATGAGGATGCTGAGTAAATTGAAAACTGCATGCCTTTTCCGCTACTTTCCCCCCTCCATATCTGCTACCTGTGTTGTAATCCCACACCTCAAGTA